TTAAATCAAAGAGGATTAGCTCCCTTAATGTTGTAGAGGTGTAGATTTATCTCAGTAAGTTCTGTATAGATCATCATGCAAGGGATTTAAAGAGCCTGAATCCAATCTTCATTGCTCTAGAAATAAAAATCTGATGGTTTAAACATGTATTCTGCAAGAGTTAAATCTGCCTATTGCAGGTCTTTCTTTAGGCCTGAAATGTTATCTAAATTATTAATTAAACATTAATTGACTTATCAAGAGCATAATAAACTCTCAAAGTCCTTGTTAGCCCCCGTTATTTAGTGGATTTGAATACATTTTGTGATGGATGATTTAACGTAAAAATGGATAATCAAGACTTTGTTTGTTATCGTACCAACAGTATGACGATCAAGGTTAGTCTAAAATTGAATGTCTAATGTCCTGGTTCAGAGTGAAGCAATTTGACTGAAATTTTCAGCATATTCTGTTTTTCTGTTTTCATTATCTATTTTTTAAACTATTATAGCAAGAACTGTCAGCTCTTTATCTGATCTTACCTAATGCCCCTTTAATTAATCAAAATTGTTTTTCAGTAAAAAGCTTGCTTTTCTATTTAACTAAAAGAAATAAATTTGGATTTTCTTCGATGTCTTTAAGTACTATAACAATAGATAGATAGATAGATAGATTTATTGTATCTAAACACTCCATAATATGTATAATTACTTATATAAATAATTTCATTAACTCCTCGGCAAAGTAATGGCCACCTTTTTATAATACAAATATTGCCACCATTTTTTTTTTAAATACTTTTATCCCCACTTTAGACAAGTATGTTTGTCTAGGTGTGTGTACCTCTATATATGGTTAGTCTGCTTTCTTTCATTGTGTCTATTCCAAACACTAATTCCCTAATTTGTTTGAAATAGAATGGCCTAATTATCTTTGACATCTAAGATACAATAGTGGCCTAATCTTAGTCATGCCTTCTAAGAACTGGCCTGACCTTGTGAAAAACAATACTTGGTGTGACATTCTTGATACTCTAGAAGATTGACATTTTAGTATACATTTACTTACATGTGTAATGGTACATGTAATATACAGTATGTACCTATGACGTCTATGTGAGACAACCTATAAAGATTGGATTAATAATAATATTTTAGATCTGTTTTATTTTGGAGTATAAATGGTTAGTACTCTTATTTTTAATGATTGTGAATTGCAAAAGTGTTATGCAATGAAAGGACAGTTTTGGCAAATGTACCTTTGAAGGTTTAGAATATTTTTTATAGGAAATTTATTGGTATTGCATAAAAGATCAAAGAAAAAAGTAGACAGAAATGCCACTTTCTAGATCCCTCCCATTGCACACATACTATAGGAATATATGTTTGTCTCAAAATAACATAAAAGTAAAGTGTTGATGATGTCTTAACCTTAATCCATTTCATTCATTGAAACTGAGATTACAAAACTGATGATAGACGAATATCGTGTTTCCTTTAAATCTCTCTTGAACTATTAAGAATCAAATTGTCAGATCAGACAAACTTAAAAATGCATTATGTAAGATTTAGATAAAGAGCTGACAGTTCTTACTATAATAGTTTAAAAATAGATATTGAAAATTTCAGTCAAATGACTTTATTCTGATCGAAAATATGAATGTTGGAAGTTTTGATAAGAATAGCATTGTCTAGATTTTCATGGCTACCATTTTTGCAATTATAATCAAAGTCTTGATTATCTATTTTTAAATTAAATTATTAAACCATGAATTGATTAAAAGTCACAAACATTTGATGGTCTAGAGCTCGAGTATATTATGGGCTTGTCACATGAATAAATGTCTAATTAATAATTTACATAATATTTGAGACCAAAAGAAAGACCTACAATAGGCAGATTTAGCTCATGCATAATGCATCTTTAAAAGGTGTATGCTGTATTTACCCACACCATTGATACTTGGAAGATTCAAATTTTCAAAATTTCTCCATAACCTGTCTGTTCATTCTAGTCATTTCACAGCTGTTCTGTTGACCGATATGTAGCCTTCTTTCATAATTAAATTTAATGAATAGTTACATAAGCTTATTAAATTGTTTATCTCATAACTCATAGCATAATTTTTAGATCATCATTCATGTCATTTCTCTAGGTTACCAAATCTGTTCATTAAAATTATCAACGTTTGTGGTTATGGTACACATGATTCATGTATACCTACTATTTGAATAAAATATAATATTTTATTATTGGTGAATAATATTTACTTACGTACAGTAAACTCTATACATATGTGTAGGTTAGACTATTGATTTTATTGTAGGGGTCAACCTACTACTGGTATTACAAACATACTCGAATATATTCATATGATATAATTCATAGATAATTCGTTCATTGTACTGAAATGTAGACTTGTATAGTCAATTAGAGGTTACATGTACATAAGATGTAAAATAGACAATTAGGATGGATAATTATAAGCAGACATATTTGTCTGATGGCTTCTATATATAGTTAATATAGTTAACAATATGGTATATTATAAGATAATGTCAGGTATGTCTTCTTACTTTCACTTTCATTGGATAGAAACATAACTAGTTATTAGAGGGTTAGTTTTAGGTTTGAGACTGGAGCTTAGTGTTGAGTTCTTGTGTTCTGTATAAGCTTGTACATGATCAGACAAGTCTAGAAATTTGTGAGAATCTTAATATCTTACACTCACAGACCAAAACATCTAAATTCTGGAAAATTCGAAAATAATTCTCGAAAATTCACAAAAATGCAGCAAAATTTCAATTTCACTTTATTTACCAACTCCTCCGCATGTCATTGTCATACATAATACATGAAACTTTGACATATTATCATGCTATGACTTAATATAATGACGTACACAGCTCGCAACAGATATGTTCACTAGAATCTATCCAACAATTAACTTTTATAGCACATATTTATTAGACAATCTCTTCTTGGGAGTTCTCAAAGAATTGTATATTGAGTGATAAGGGAATTGGTCTGTCGATTAGAATGTCCCATGTTATGAATGCAGATGCAACAGATGCAAGCCAGGAAGAAAATTTAGTTTTTTGGGGTTTTTTTACCTTGTTTGTCAGAGGTGATGCATTCATATCTGACAACTACAGATGGCCACAAAAAAAAGAGTCCACATTAAAAAAATCTAGAAATTGGAATTTGAAATAGAGAAATGCCACCCATCCGGGCAAACCCTGCAAACATACCCACCTTCTCATTGTTCATACAAGAACCATAGTGAATTTGTAAATACATGTAGCATAGAATCCACATTTTCTCTTTTTATGATGTAGATATACTTTGTTGTACATGTATCCATATCCCTCCATCCATCAAAATTCGCCCAAATTCAATGGCCTAAAACATTCATGGGGTCATGCTGGTTAATTTTTAGATACCACATATGTGGGGGTGGAGCGCAGAGACAATTCCAGACAAAGCGTTATTCGCCGAGAACTCAGGCTCAATTCACCCGAGGGCCCAAATCCGATGGCCTAAAACATTCACGGGGTCATGTTGGTTAATTTGATACCAACAAATTTTACTATATTAATTGTTAAAAAATAGATAATGTCAATGAATATATTGCTAATTTCAGTCAAATTACATTATTCTGAGTGAAGTTTTTACAAGATAGTCTTTATTGTCATTAAGTACCATTGCTACAATAATAAACAAAGTCTTGATTATCCCAATCTTATTAAAACACAGATCCTATTTCGTTTCGTTTTTTATAGTTCAAAATTTTGTTTCACTTGTCTTTATTACACTAGGATCTGGAAGAGTTGTTATATTACCGGCATTTTGGTTGAAGTGAGGGATAAGCCAATGAAACAGTTTGTTATGCCTATGGCGACTTCTTGGCAAGCCATGCACAGAACTGTGGGTAAACCACTAGACACCTGATTGATTAATCAATGTCTGATGTCATAGGGTCAAAAGCCGCTCATGTGACCCCTGACACGACACTCGAGTACAACTTGTCAGATCTTCATTTAGTGTAGGCCATCAAATGTATAAAAAAAAACGAAACGAAATATAGATCTGTATTTTAATCAGATTGTGATTATCCATTGTAGTGTTAAATTATTAAATGAAGCGAGTGTTCTAATCTATTAAATATCACCCAATGATCTAAAGAGTTGATTATGGGATTGTCATGTGATTAAATGCCTAATTAATAATTTTATAACATTTGAAGCCAAACAAAAGACCTGGAAAAGGTACATTTAGCTTTTACATAATGCATCTGTATTCAAGAAAGATATGTCAAAAGTAGCTTGTGAATGTGAAGGAGTACATTTTTCATATGGCTCTAATATCCATGAGATCTTGAATGAGATTCATCCATTATTTGCTGAGTTATTGTCTGTAACTTGAAAAAAAAAAAATTAAAAACAAATGTTTTATAGTCAACATTTTTCATCTGATATTAAAGTAACATGGTACATGGTATATTTGGCCTTAATTATATCCATATCTTTGATGCATTCAAATTTAAACTAGATTTATCCAATAAATGCTGAGTTATTGCTCTTGAAGGAGTTATAGAGTACATCAAAAAATAACTTATGAATGCAATAGCCTCCATTTTTTTTCTCCAATTTTAACGAGTATTTTTTTGTCATCTTATATACAGGTAACATTTGGAACTATTCATTGTTTTAATTGAATGCCGCATTACTGTAACCTGGTGCGACGATTACGTTGCTCCTTCAAAGCGATATGGACCTAAGTTTATCATACCTTGTAAATGATAATACACATAGAACAGTGCAGTGATTCCAGGAAGTGTGTGAATATGTGATGGCTCAACATTTAAACAAATTATAAGCTTGAAAGTAAATCAATAATTCAATTACGTATCTACAATTTTATGTACATTCACCGAATAACTTACCAATGAGAATTCAATGTTATGCATTGATGTAAGAAAAACATAACCATCTGTTTCAAACAATTATATTCTTCTTCAGGTGATGTCATGGCCACAGAGCCAACATGTCCATACAGTGTATTAGATGTGGCTCATCTTCTCCAATCCAAATTTGCAATTCTAACAGGTATGGTCAATTATATTTTCAAATTATATTAGATTAATGACAGTGATAATAATATATAGAAATTTCATCCATATTAGAAACTCACCTGGGATTGACTTAGTTGACACTTAGCCTAGCAGAAAAGAATTATTTTAATAATTTTGCTATCAGTTAATACATTCACTTATGTATGTTTTCACGCTACACTGGAAATCTTGCTCAGCACATGTGTTAATCTCTACAGTGTCGATTAGCTTTTAAAAATAAAGTCTTTGGGTCTCTGGATGGGGTTAAAACTGAAAGGATCAATCAATAAGCTAACCGTTGCTTTGTAAAAATATCAAGTTTTGGTTTGGGGTGGTGTTGAGTTATAGAGGTGTTGTTGCACTGGTGTACCCAAAACCCTAGTTCAGCTCATTACACTCACCATGTACGTTCAGGAACTGCCCTATTGAATCCTCGTCGAAAAAGTTTCGACCATCAGTCAATTTTACTGGGCAACTTTTTACTGCTAAACGGTCGCGTATCGTCTCATATGGCCGGGTTACATAAATTTGTGCGTTACCCTATATTTTGATTTCAATGGCTTCTGCCAAGTCGTTTAGCAGAAGGGGACATATTTTTAACAGCATGTTGTGTTGTACATACTGACTCTAGCGAGGTAAGCAAGGTCTTATTTTCTCTTTAAAATATTCCTTTACATTGTACAGGCATTCACAGGGATTGACGTGACCGTTTAGCAGTAAAATGTTGTCCTGTAAAATTGATTGGGGGTTGAAACTTTTTCAACAAGGATTCAATAGGGAGGTTCCTGAATGTACTGGGCAAGAGTAATGAGACCTACATTCAGAGCTGAACTACCAAAACCCTAACTCAGCCCCAAGAAGGTTGATTTTATCTATATTATAGTGCAATGTAGCCTGTAATTTGTAAACAAGTTTAGTTGATGATGAGATGATGTCAAGTTGGTTTCAAGCCAGTGTTGCATATAACACCAAAAACCAAATCACAACTAGGATTTCCCAGGTTGAAATTCACGAATACCCTCTATATTTTTAAGAAAATCTTACAAGAGGGTGTTTCCTTTTTGTCCAGATGGGACAAAAATAACAAGGTCTACCTGTGTATACATTGGCATCATGTAAAAGAACAGTTGGTAGGCAGAAATTCCACGGTCCGTGCAAAATTTGCACACTTGATAGAAAAATATCGCATTCGACCCTTGTCTCTATTATAATGGTTTATCGACACTAAGTTGTTTGGCAATGAAGTCAGGGGTGTAGCTGTGTCAAAGCCAGGTTTGACCCAGCATTTTCTGTGGAAATGGCATCAATTCCTCAATTGGTGGGATGACATTCAGAAGTTATAAATGTCTAAATATAAAGATCAGATATAATTATATAGATATTGTCTAGACATTATGTTACAGTTATCATGTTTATGTATGCGGAACTCACTAAATGATGACAGAATATAATTTTCTTCAATTTACAACGAGAATTATCAATTTTGTTGGAGTATTGGAGTAGTTTACAGAAACTGTTTAGTATGGATTGAGATGATATGTAAACACTAGGCCTTTATACAATGAGTTTGAAGATGTCTACTCTACTCTATTGAAATATATTAGGCACATAAGTATGTCATTGCATGTTTACTCTAGAAATGTTTTCTTGCAACGCCCAACCTACTTTAAATATTTACTGTTTGAATAATTGTAGCGAAATATTGATTAACCAGTGCTAAGCTTATATTACACAGTTTAGTAACAACTGAAAGGAATTCTATGTAAACAGCTATTGTATGAACCTTAATTAACTATGAGATATTTGTATCATTCTATTTGTGTAATTAAAATGCACAATGTGTAAATTTATAATGTCATTTTAATTAAGTCTAAATGTCAACTCATTTTTAATAATATAAAATCGTGTAGATATCATGTTGTCTTGCCATATTAGTTTTTGTAACAAAGGATGCTAAAAATGATGTTATTATATTCAAGTTTTTGATAATTAATGGTTGTTTTGTTGGCTTTTTCTAAAATGATTAAAGTATGAAATTAATAGCAAGCTTGTTATTCAGATTTTTTTGGTTGGCTAGTCAAATGGTCTAAATAGTAGTTGACATGGATTAGTGTCATCTGCATAACATTGTGTTATTTCTGTGATTTCTAGTATGTGCTAAGCACTAATACTAAATACCTTTCATTGTATTTTTTCTTCCTTCATCCTTGTTATATAATTTAACGAAATTTATTCTGACTAAAAAATTGTTTGGGATCTAAGGCAGTGCATTATGATAGTTCACTTCTTATCTGAAATGTCATGTTCTAGTGGTAAATATCCATAACAGCAAGTCTCCTCCACAAAAGCTAAAATATGGTGTGCCACAGGGCTCTGTCTTTGAATGCCTTTTATTCACACCATACACTTAAGTATCATAAGATAACACCAAATTTACGACCAGCTTTACGCCAATGATACACCACTATATATCACACTGAATGGTGCCTACTACACTGAAAACATCAATTAACTGGATGCCCCTGGGCAATCCAAATCCCTGCAACACCACTGTATTAAACCCATTTTGGAGCTGTAGTTGGCACAAGAGTGCCCTGTGGGAAACAAAGTCGATAATCTTCGAAAATCTTCACAATAATAATGGAAAAATTTTCTTTGGAATTTATTTTTAGATTGTAATGCTATGAGTTTATTATATATGTATTCAGTGTCTCTGGCCTATAGAATTTTGGTAAAACATGATCACATTTAACATATTCATATTTAATAGACCCCCGGACATAAGTATAATAGTGAACCCTACTTCTCTTTAGAACTTTAAGTGGTATGGTGGAAAATGCTCAGTGCATATGCCAAACTCATCAGAGACCAAAAACATCTTTCTCCAAATAATAAGATGATTTTAATATTAAAGAAATAGGATCTGCTTTGTTTGATTTTTATTATTTCTTCTTCAAAATAAATTTTGTTCAGAAGACTACAATTAACCCGTGTGCATTAGACTTTTGTCACGATAAATAAAACCCCAAAACAGTCATTGATTTGCGATTAGAGTTTTTCACCCTAATGCATTGTAGATTATTTATATATTTCAGGTGGTAAAGCTAAGAATGGTGCACCTATATTAATATTTGCTGATAGACCTAATGAAGCTGAGGTGCCAGATGAAGAATATAAAAAAGTCATCACCTATCTCAGCAGCATTACTTTGTATGTCATTATTTAATTATAAGTCTATTTCTTCTCAATTGCTTAAGAATAGAAGATTAGTTACATATTTTGATAAAAATATTTAAAAAAACAAAATTTCTTTTCAAAGCTTTAAAATTGATCCATTATATATATTATTTTTATATTTGATTGAATGTGTGAAAAACAGTACATTTACCGTATACATATCTACTAATGAGTAATGACTACTGTGGATGCCGAGCTGGTGAAGACTAGTTCGATGAAGTTCACCCCACTAAATTATTCACATGACACCGCTACAAATCTAAGCTAGTCCCTTTTCAGCATATCGTTACATACGCGCGTCACCGCTTTGATAAAACCCCATGATGTGTCCATAAGAAATATGAAACTGCAACATAACAACTATTTATTCACCATCACATTAGTTATTTCACAAAGGTTCACTGGTTACAAGTCATATTCTGATAGATACATACATAGATAATCTTAGCGTTTTGGCTCGTGTTAACTTGCGGTAGAAAACAGTACGCTGTCACCAGCTCACATCACGCACTTTCATCTTTACTTTCATCGCACATGTTCACAACATCCGCTCAGTTGCTAAGCAACTGACTCGATTTTCAAGACACTAGATACTATCCTACAATATGCAATTAGACTCGATTAACTCACATTTAACTTAATATACTGCATGTATGCACAGACACATTATATTGCCATATGTAGATTTTGAACATTACAACTACAGTTGTCTTTTTTTATCCCGCGCTGAATAAGTTAGGGAGGGATATTTAATTGGGGTCCGTCCCGATTTAGTTTCCGGAGCATATCTCATAAACTGTTCAAGATATCTTTTTGAAACACAGTACACATATCAACCTCTTAAAGTAGTTGTGCCTATTGCTATTTAGGAATTTCTGGGATTTATATTTTTTGTGTTTCCATGGAAACAAATTTGACTTGGTGTAAATTTTGGTTTACGGAGCATAGCTCATAAACCATTCAAGATATCTTCATGAAACTTTGTACAAGTGGTTGTACTTTTTGCTAATAAGAGATTTCTTAGATTTGATAATTTTTATGTTTCCATGGAAACAAATTTTTTTGTTGAACGATTTTTGAATTTTTACTACACATTTGACTTAGTTTTGGGTATATAATTATTATTCTAGCGTATATCTCAGAAATTGTTCAAGATACCTTTATAACACTTTTGCATTCATCTACCTATTATTTTAATTTCTGATGACTGTCCTACCATCCTGATTTCATTTCCGGAGCTTATTTCATTATCCGTTCAAGAAATCTTTTTGAAACTTTGCACAAAGATCAACCTATTATAGTATTTTATGTTCTTATGTAAAATCTTCTTGTTTAACATACAGCAGCTGATTGAGGTAGGCAAAGGTTGTTGTGAAAACATAACAGGAAGTAGCGACCCTGCCTTGCCAAGCTACTGTGATCAGAGGGGGCACCTCAGGGGGCCGAATTGTTTGCATGTGCGCGCTGTATCATACGGTCTGTCATTAAGTCAACTGGCATGGTTTCGATTCCCCAGTTGTACGTGACAAGGAGTAGGGTCGCCTGTCCAATCTTGTGGGTTTTCTCCGGGTCCCCTGGTTTCCTCCCACTGCTAAAGAAATAAATTATTGAAATAAAATTGAACCATATGTTAGTCCCGAAATTATCTAGTTTGTGTCAAGTGAACGTTAAACCTCATTTCTCTCTCTCTGTGATCAGAGTATGAATCTTCTGACTAGTCCAATTGATATTCCAAGAAGTTGTTTTTCCTTATGCCTTCCAAGGGGGCGGAATGGCGATGACTAGTCATCTTGTTTTTATTGAACGATGCTTTTTGAAGGCTTTCTAGTTTTGTAGAAGCTTGAAGACTTTTACTGTTAGATAAGAATCAATAACGTAATAAGGAAATGGAAAAGGTGTTGGAAGCTATGTGAACTACTAGAAAATGAAAGTATAGCGTTAGTTGTTCATAATGATGCTTGAAGAAGTTTCTACTTTTATACAAAAATTGATTGGTGTCTCTAGTTACACATTGGCTATGCCACTCAGTTACTATATTTTGTTTTAAATAAAGCTGAAGATTTTCACATTTAAACTTATCCAAATGAAAATATAGTACCAGTATCTCCTTATCAATTTGATTAGTGACTACTTTCTTGTATGGTGAAAACATGTGGTTTTTGTTATGACATGTTCAATCAAAATTCTATGAACAATAAACAGACATTTTTTGAATATATACTTATAACTATATATTTCTGAATAGTTATATTTTCAAGTCACAGTGATTGTGTAAGATGATGATTGGATGAAGCGAATGCTAAAATGCAATTTCTGCTCCTAAACTGGGCTAATGAAGACGGGCATACGCCATACAGTGTGCTATGAGGGAAATTTTGCCCGGACAGCGGCACTACGGCCTACTCTTAAATCGAATTCCAACTGCCAAGGGATCTTTTACGTGCACGCCAATGTTTACATGGGACCTTGGTTTTTCGTCCCATCCGAACGACTAGACAGCTGTCCTTGTCAGGCCCTCCATCCTGCATCACTGACGGAAAAGGGGTGTATGGTTAATGTGTGCGCATTGCATCATAATGTCTGTCATTGAGTCATGGGTTTTCATCGGGTCCTCCAGTTTTTCTCCCACTACTAAATTAATGAAATAAAATTGAACCATGTGTTAATCCTGAAATGACCTAGTTTGTGTTGAGTGTATGTTAAACCCCATTTCTCTCTAAGTTGGAATATATGACCTAATTATACTTGAAAGAAGATAAAAAAAAATTTATATTGTAACTGAACACAGAATGTGAAAGCCTGTGCACTATGATTATGCTGTAATAATAATAATAATGCTAATTACATAGATTATGTGTTACAGAATACTTTCTTAGAACATTTTTTGATTAGAAGGAAATAGACAAAAAAAAACTTAATACGGTGCTGTAGGTTTTGTAAATGTTGTTTTAACACAAATCTTTCTGCAACAGTTGATACAGTAATACTCTATTACTGTACTTGATGGCTGCCAATTTTATTGCCCAATTTCAGTCTAATTCGGGATGTCCTGAATGGATTAATCAAAAAGCTCAATCACCAATCAAATTATGTATGGCGATAAATTTGAAATATTCTCTGCCTGGATAAACATAGGAGGACCAGAAGTGGAAAAATTACGTTACATTTGCCTTTTTGGAGCATAAAGTTATTGATTATTCTAGCTGTGATACACTGTAGTTTGATGGGTATCAACAAACTCTCCTACTATAACATCAGAATATCATGTCACCGAATTCTCATTTATTCTAGTTTTATGTGGTACTGAAGAAAATGACATAATATCTTTTCATTGATCAAATCATAAAGCTCATATTAACCAATGTTGTATCTTCAAAAACCATTTCAAGTACAATAAAACTTTCATCACTTGATTTTGAAAGGAAAATAAGTTTTATTCTGCTATTAGATATATAAACGGGGATGTAAAATTTGAATACCTGTTAGATAAAAGATGCAAAAACTGTTATGCTTATTTACATCTTGAGAAAAGTGGAACTTAGATGTTACACTTGAGATATTTTATTGCCAACAGGTCAAAGTGCATGTATATATATATATATATATATATATATACAAGCGGTTGCCATGCAAGCTAAAAAAAAAAGAAACGATTTTTCTTACAATCATGGGCCATAATCCATGAAGTTATAGTCCGATATACCTGAATATTGACAGGAAACAAAATCTTCAGGATATAGACATATATTGTAAGTTTCATCAAAATCAGATAAAAATTGTGACCTCTAGAGGTCCACAACCTTGGCATTACATACCTTTACACTATTTGCGTACAAGGAGAGGCCATTTTGTCGGGTAGTTTTGTTCCGATTTTTATGAAATTTGAACTCACCCAACATTATGGTGTAATGGTGATATATAGAGAGTCAACTACAAGCTAAAAATGCAATTTTTCGTACAATTGGGGACAATAAGCCAGGAAATTTACGATCTGAACCAAGATCTTTGGAACATAAACATAAATTTCAAGTTTCATCAAAATCTAATGAAAATTGTGACTACTAGAGGTTCCACAACCTTGATACATGTATTACATACTTTAACACTATTTGCATACATTTTTTCCATCAGTTTCAAACTCAATCATCATTATGGTGTAACAGTGATATATTTGAACAGTTCTTTAAATCGGATAAAAATTTTGACCTCTAGGTGGACCACAAGTTGAAAATGTGATTTTTTGTACAATCGGGGACCATAATCCAGGAAGTTGCAGTCCAATATGCACGAATATCGAAAGGAACCGAGATCTTTGGGTTATAAACATACACTTCAACTTCCATCTAAATCTAAATCGGATAAAAATTGTGACCTCGAGAGTGTCCACAGGCTAAAAACGTGATTTTTCATACAATCAGGGCCATAATCCATAAAGTTTTGATCCGATACATGCCAATATTGACAGGAACCGTGATCTTTTGGAGATAAACCTATATTTCAGGTTTCGGGCAAAATCAGACGGATGGGGGTGACAACAATATACGTTTACATGAAAATGTGGCCATATAAAAAGTGGTGCAGCAGTATGAGCATACATGAGTTTGGTCTAAGTAATTTAAAGTATAAACAAATACATCTTTAGAAGCACCATAAATATACCATATAAATAATTTGATTACTTATGTTATTTATGTATGATGTGTTTTATGTTTATGAGTATGTATTTTATATATTACAGACGTACAGATAAAGAATCAGGATTTGTTGTTGTCATTGACAGACGTAATGATGGTTGGGGTGCTGTACGATCTATACTATTAAAAATATCAGTAAGCTGCCTTTTTATTGCAGACAAATTAAGTACTAGTAAGAAAAACTGCAAACAAGCCACAAGATTTACAAATTTGTTTTTATTATATGGATTTGTTCGGTACTGTTAAAAATGTATAAAGTTTTTACTTATCAAATAGAATGAAATGAAAATGTAAAATGATAAATCTTGCATCCATATTTAAAATGGTATTCAATTTATTTACAGGGTTTCTTTCCGTGCCATGTTCAAGTAGCATTTTTACTTCAACCCAAAGGTTTCTTTCAAAGAGCCTTTGCAGACTTCCGCTCAAAATTTGTAAAAGAAGAACTTGAATTCAAAGTAAGTAATATATATATAGGCTAAACATATTGTAATATAAGTTTTTTCCAAAATGGGACAAACATCATTATAATCCATTCTGTAACAATTTCACACTGTTATATTTATTAATGGCATAGAGTTCTATAAGGTTACACATTCATTATGAACTGTCTGATACTCAAAATAATGTGACTGAAAGGTACTTTCCAAAAGCACCTTATTTGCTTTTGCTTTTTCTGGGGTAGGAAATTCATCAAAATTGTTGTATTAAGTGATTTGCTTACTTTCATAGCACAATTATTGGGAATCTTGTCCCTGATTTAAAGGATTTCTTACACATTTGTAATTAGGACCTAATTTTGACCGCCCAACAAGTTAAATAAAATTGTCCAATGCATGATGACTTTCAGATAATTTAATTGTTGATTATTTCAAACACTCAGGTCAAAATATCAGGGAATTATTGTGTAAACAAAGAGAAAAAAGATAAAATTCTATGTGAATATAGTTCTCAAAGGAGTTATTATATCCATACTTGCTTGCTGTGAATTTTTTAAAAATATTCTATCATTTACATGAAATTTATTGATTTGGCGTATTTTACCAGCATTTTATAAATATGGATGATGTGGCGGCTAATGTTTCCTTCAGGAAATATTTATAAAATTGACTGGTGCTTAAAGCAGCATGTAAATATATTTTTACGATTGATAGCTCTAATGTTAAAGCTCAAGAGATTTGGCAGTCCACATTGGTAACTTCACGCCACTATTTCTCATTGTTATTCACTAGTTTGTTCAAAATAAGATGAGATTAGATCCTACTAGTGTAGACGTTTTGTATTCCTTGTCTTTTTGTGGTTGACGAGCAACAAACTAATTGAAGATCTTTACTCTTGACCTTTTTCTTCCCAATTATTTTCATTTTTCTCAAATGACATGTCACCCTCGAGATTGCACAGGAGATTTCTCATTAGAAGTTAATTGGTTCTTTGCTTCGCATCAATCCGCATTCTTTAACTTTGTGTTGACTATTTTTGTCCTAGCACGTTTTGATTGCATTGATTACGTCAAATCTCTTACTCCTCTGACCAAACTATAACAGTGCTGAGAAAATCAATCATTCATTCCATTCAATAGGATAAATGAGGAGAGGGATAAATTTGTATTAATTTTAAGTGAGGGAATTTTAACTTAAATTAGGCAAAAAAGCAATTTAATACTTCAAGATTTCATTCCTTTTTTATACTTTTGCTATTTTGGTACTGTATCAATATCCATGAATTCCCCGGCTCTACTCAACTATGATTGGATAAAGAGAACTTTTTTCCCCTCTGGCTTGAGTAGGAAAATTATAGTATTCTGAATTACTAGATGTGTTACAGTTCTAGATAAAATGAATTGAGGAAATAGCAGTAAAAAAAAAGACTTAATAATTTAGTGTTTCACTTTATATAACACGGATCTCAAAACAGTAAATCCATTAGTATTAAGGATATAGAATACATTACAACAAAGTAAATATCAGTAAATGGGTCAGGTAATACATAAAAGTGGAATTCAGTAGCAGGGTATGATTACCAAGGTTTCCGATTAATTATATTGCACATATTCAAAGAATTTACATGGATTCTAAGATGTTAATGGTTGTGTGCAGTAAAATGATTTAAAGCCTGGCCTACGCCCCAAAGCCATCTCAATTCCCATCGGCCACTCTCAGTTTTTTATCTGCCTGACCCAAGATCTATCCCATTTATTTCATGAATTGCAATTGTAACACTTTATCAGAAAGTTTTCACCCATTTCTTAATCAAATAAAATAGACAAGTTTGTCTTCGAAATAGATACATGCAACACTAAAATATATCTATATGGGAAATAAGAATACAATAATATATTTGTGCAGTTTTCATTTAACTGCAATCAATAACATGGACCATGCCAATCATTCTGGGGCCTTTCAAAAAAATTTTGGGCCAGACCTTCTCTTTATCCCATTATCAGTTTTAAATTCTTTCACTAGTATGCATTCATATCCCATCTAAGCTCAATCTCAAGTGATGTGCATGTACTTTAAGGACAATAAAGCTCCTTGAGCCTAAAAAACACCCGGCTCGAACAAGCTCTCACATGCCTGTTTTTTCTGGTAACTGTGATGAGGGAGCTCTCTCTGAATTCTGAATCCTGAAACCACATATTTTGCCTTAATTTCATACTTTCTACTTTTTGGTATAATTCCATCACTATAAGCGATCACTTTTGAACAATGGTTTTAGTTCTTGCAGCTCAAGTGATCAATCATTGTTGATTATTGATGTTGCATTAAGTCTCTAGATAATATTTTTGAATGTGTTGGTATAATTGTGACTGTTTACTGTGAACCTTGTTCTTCAGTTTAATTGGGAATTGAATTTCTGAACGTGGTTATTCATGGATGTAGTGGAAGATACAATATATGCTGTAAATTAAATTGTAATTCCTTCCAAATTAAATTAGACATAAAGTATTATTATGTATAATGAATTTAGATGAATAAAATATACATTATACTTCACAGACACATAAAATGGTTCTCATTTGAGATTTCCAGAAGTCTGCTACTAATATGGATATCAATCATTAATTGGTGTCTGCATTTTATTCAATAAAATGTTTGTGTATTGATATTAGGCAATAAGACCATAGGACTGTGTTAAATACCTTGATTCCTAGTGGAGCAGAAGATAAATTAGCTAAGTAGGAATGAAGATTATGGGCAGAATCCTAGTGAAACATTAATGCCAAAACTCTAGACTAATTTCTTCCCGACAAAACACAGTAGTAACTCTCATGGGTATTACGATCTTGCTTTTATTGAATTTTTAGTCCCTGCAACTTAATCTACTCCCTTTCCTTCCACAATTCTCTGAACGAGATCAATTGGAGAAAACTGCAGCATGGCCATCCATTTATTGGATGATATCTATGAATTATAGAATAAAAAAGTGTAATTTTACCAGGGGTACAGAAATCAATAGTAGAAAAGATCAGTACAATAACGAAACTAGTCCACAAATCTCCCCGGGGGAGCATCATACACAGCTGAATCAGTCAGCTAAATGCTTCAATAAGGTCCATCAAGAACAGCTTGTCAGACAAGACTAGCATAATTTCCATAGTGAATTCATAATATACTTCAAGTGTTTGCAGGATTCTTTTTCATTCTGTGGTATAAATTGGCCATCTTTTCTGTTCTGACTACTAATTTTGTTATTTCGTAAATCGAATGCTATTAAATACCATTTCAACAAAATGTGAATAGATCTAATAAGGTTATAGTTATTTTCATTCCAAATGTAAATCACTTTCTGCATGGTTTTCTTAAACTGCGATTTTAAAGAAAAAGCAGAGTTTTTGTAGCTTTAACAAGACGTTGTTATGCTCTATAATAAATATATAATATTTATATTAAATAGGTTATTAGCACATTCATATTGCATAACCTTTTTAAAAGTTTTTAAAAGTGAGAATAAAAGTAAAATACATGTATACAATTTAAGACAATTCACAATCTAAAGCACTTGTACTAAATAAAAACAAATTGGTTCAAAATTGGTCGAGCAATCATAACCCAATGTAAGTTACGGCCATTTGAAGTTGATATTAGTTTCTATTGATTTCATGCAAACATCTTTATTTTTCTGTAATTATATGAAATATTATTTGAAAGTGATTTGTATTCATTAGGGTCAGTGTCCAGTGATTATCTAACATAATATTATACAATCAAACCTTTGATTTGGAGCATAATAAAGGTTTGAATTGTGTGAATTTGAAAAGACATAAAGTCAGACTACTTAATGATATAACTTTTCAGATTGTATATGCATTTTGTTTTATTTTGAATAAAATACATATGTATGTTTTCAGGTTGTATTATGTGATACTGTCAGTGATATATTTGAGCATATAGATAAAAGTCAGTTAACAATAGATCTAGGTGGTGAACTAGAATATGATCCTAATGAATGGACAGAACATAGATCTGTAAGTTATTCTTTATTCATTTATCAGTAACATAAATACTATTGATATTGGTGGCACCCTCCCATGTTGACACCTATGATCCCATTCAGTATATAACCTCACCAGTTGACCTCATTAACCCCATTTCAATCCAACCTCATTGCAATCAGATAACCTCACCAGGTGACTGTCCTCACTCAATATAACCTCGCCAGTTGACTTCCCTAACCCCATTCAGAAAGTAATCTTATCAGGTCCACTGACTCACTCATTTAGATGGTAACCTCGCCAATTGACAGCCCTCACTTCAATCAGATATTAACCTCATCTGAACTACCATCTCACTCCATTTAAGTGGTTACCTCACTAGTTGACTGCCCTCACTCCAGTCAGATGATAACCTCATCTGATCTACCATCTCACTATAGTCAAGAGATAACCTCACCAATTGACTGCCCTCACCCCATTCAGAAGGTAACCTCCTCTGATCTTCCACCTCACTCTAATCAAATTGTAATCACAGTTGAAAACATTCCCTCCAATTCTGTTCTACCCTCTCACTCCTTTTAAATGTTAACCTCACCAGTTGACTGCTTTCACTCCAGTCAGATGGTAACCTCATCTAATCTACCATCTCACTCCAATTAAATGGTAAGCACAGTTGACAGCCTTCCCTCCAATCAAATGAAAACCTCATCTGTTCTACCCTCTCTCACTCCTTTAAACATTAACCTCACCATTTGACTGCTTTCACTCCAGTCAGATGGTAACCTCATCTGATTTACCATCTCACTCCAATCAAGAGCTAACCACCAGTTGACTGTGATCAACCCCATTCAGAAGGTAACCTCACTAGATCTATCCTCTCATTCCTTTCAAATGCTAACCTCTCCAACTGACTGGTCTCACTCCAATCAGAACTAACCTCATCAGATCTACTCTCTCACTCCAATCAATAGGGTGACCCACCATAAATAAATATCTCCATATATCTCGACAATTTCGCCACAATATTTATATATATGCCAAGCCTCAAATCAGTTTCACACAATTATAGTCACTAAATAAACGATCATGTTGTACTTAATAAGCTATGACCATTAATCATCTATAAATAATAGACTGAAAACTGGTTCCATGTGTCGTCCATAACATCCAGACACTTTTGAGTAAAAGATAGGCTACGTGCCCTTGTTTTGAAATTAGTCTCGCTTAACCAGTCTATCGACCATTCTAGGGCTGATTGACAGGTCGGGATAATCAAGACTACTTTTTTACGAAACATAACAGAAAGCTAGAACAAGAAATTGAATTTAGAAATGAGCACGTTAGCTAGCTCAACAATTGTTTTAAGAATCTTGTAAAAGTAAAATGAAACTACTGCTAGTATCATGTTCCTGTCTAACCCGAGTGTTTCAGAGATATTATTTGTACTAAACCAAAAGATGCCGCTCTTAACGGTACAGTTAATGAAAAAGCGATTTAAAAAATGAAACGAACTTAATTTCTAAATCTGCTGTAATAACCAAGAAGCTTAATTTTACTGCTATTCAAAATCGTCAACAATAAATTTTTTACGGCTGTAATAGTTGATAGATTTGTAGAGAATTGCACGTGCCATGGCTATTTATAGTATCATACTGTCAGAAAGTTGGCCTCGACACGGCGAATGTGCACGCTTCAGTGGTAGTCTCGAACTATCAGCGGTTGACTGTATTTCTGTAGGTGCATGGGTCACCCTACAATCAAATGATAACCTCACCAGTTGACTTCTCTCACTCCATTTGGATGGTAACCTCACCAGTTACTCCACTGACTCCATTGGAGTCAACCATTTATAATCTGCTTTTAAGATAACCCTGTGCTAATTTTAATTTATTATAATATTCATGAGCATTGTTGCACTTAATGATAAGTTTGAAAGAATTTAAGAGTAACCCCAGGTGTTTTTCACCATAACAAACAACATTTACATTTCCCACTTCATGTAGCACTAAAGAAGCAATTAATTAATAATAAGTTATAAACACAATTTCATTTCAGGCAGTGGAGAAATTTCACACAAATATTGATGTTATAGCTGAAAGTTTAGTAAAACTAGTAAAGAAACTTGAGGAAGTAGAAATACCTAATGATAAAGAAGGTACTGAAGCTATGATTAAAGATCATTTAGCAGAGAGGAAAGAAATATTAGCAGACCTTATAAGTGCCAGTACACATGGTAAAACATTACTGAACTGTATAAAGGGAGGTGACTCTGAAGAGGATACAGATTTGGTAAAACAGGTTCATGTGGATGCATTACAGACGTAAGTAGGCCTACAAACAAATTTTAGGTTATATGTAGAAGTGTATAAAGACACATTTCTTGTCTTATCCTGATATTTTTTGACAAGCTCTCTCTTGTTCAGGCTTTAGGCGGTGGAAAAAAAAAATGGATTACCATTTTACCATTGTGAATTCGATATGCTGGGGAAAGTATAATCATGGACCTTATAATGTATTATAAGGTCCATGGTATAATTAAATTCAATATTTTTGTATATCTCGACACATGACAAAGATTTTTGAATAGAAATAAGAAGAAAAATCCATGATTACAATTTTCGGGAGAAAATATGTATCTCCTTGAAAAATATTTCTCTTCAGTCCAGACTGTTTCCTTTAATCTGATCTAGAAATATGTCACCTTGCACAGAATGATGAAAGGCTTTCACTCAAAATCAAAATCGATGATACAACAGTAATATATTTTAAAGAAATATTGTAGGAGTGACAATAGGGGTTTTAATTCTAAATCAAATCGACAAGTCCTACAGTAAATTGCTTTACACAGAAATCAATGACCTTGTTTTATGAAGGTAGGCCTGTTTGGTCAGTTAGAGCTTTAAACATTGTACAAGGAAATTGGTAATCCTTTGTGATGTAACATCAAATATGGAGAGAAGAGATATCGATGGGCAAGATGAGAAAACAAATAAAATGTTCAGATAGATTTTATTGACCATCAACATATCAAATAAACAATATTATATCGATATACCACAACCTGTTTCTTACTACATGTACTTTTATTCATTTTACACCAAAGTGTCATATAAACTTATAAAGTGCAACATTTTCCCAGGCTACTCTACTTCCTGCAGATATCAGACCTTTTTTCCAAGAGCTTTGATAAATAGATTCAGGAAGTCTTTTATCATAAAACATATTTCATTTTTTATCCAGAAAAAATTTGGAAAAACACATTTTTTACCTTTGACCCACTTAAAAATACATACCTTATGAAAATCTTAACTTTTGTTTTATCTTTCCTTTAATAGGTTACTAGATCAGCTGAATGATGCCAAGAAAAAATTCAGCGAATTCTGGGAGACTCATGAAGAAAAATTACGACAGTGTCTAAAATTACGACAGTTTGAAGAAGAATTTAAATTGGTTAGTAAATAAGGTACCTCTTTGGTTACTTACGCAATTATTATAATTATTTATTGAGAATAATTCCCAACCAACACTGTTGAAAGTATGTACACATCTAGAATTGAATTTATTAAGCTACAATACATCTTCAATTCTACACTGTAAAAGATGGAATTAATCTTCTACTGTTCAATGTACTTGTAGCCTATGCTTAAAAACAGACAGGGGGGTGGATGGTTGAATGGTTAGCACGTGCGTGCTGTATGATAAGGCCTGTCATTGAGTCAACTGGCGTGGTTTCGAATCTCCGATTGTACGTGACAAGGAGTAGGGTTGTCTGTCCAACCTTGTGGGTTTTCTCCAGGTACTCCGGTTTCCTCCCACTGCTAAAGACCCCTACACGCAAGCGAATTATTGAAGTAAAATTAAACCATATGTTAGTCCCGAAATGACCTAGTTTGTGTCGAGTGGACGTTAAACCCCATTACTCTTTCTCTCTCTCTCTCTCTTAAAAACAGACTGTTACACATGCATTCACTGATGTAATGTTAAAGCTTCTTGGTTTTATATATTTTAATGTTCTTTAATAAGACTTCAGAGAAATTCCAATTTGCATAACCATCCACTTTCCTTACAACTGAGCTTGAAACATAGACTCAGCAACTTTACATGATGATGAACATCTAAAATGAATGTTTTGTTTAATTAGGTACAATATAGTTTAGAAAGAAAGATAGAGATATTGGAGAGTAAGATGGATATAACAGGTGAATCATTACAGCATGTAGAATCAATGATTGAAGAATTTAAAGACTTTGAAGATACATCAAAGGTATCTTCTCTTTTTTCTTTAAAGCATATGAAGTGGGACTTTGTTCTTTTGAAATATATGTAAAGATACAGTCTACAGGGCCAGATTAAGCATGCATGGGGCCCCTGGTTGAAAATATCACTGGAGTCCTTGCATCAACAGTGAAAACCAGGCATATTCTAGTCATTGTCAGACACACTCACGCAAGTGCAACCATAACATGGTAAAACACAATTTTGAAATTAATTTGGGAATCCCTTTAATATTGGGGTTCCTGGTTGGAGACCAGTCAGCAACCCCCTTAATCTGGCCCTGACCATCTATTTAGATACAAAATTACATTTTATGGTTCCAAATATCCAAGAAGGTATTTTTTATTTCATATATTGATACAAAATATAGATCAACTAGAATTTCTGTTTGCACATGATACAGCCCACATAAAATGTACAGTTATTACATGGACTTTAACACCAAAACATAAAAGATACAGTTTTTACATGGACTTTTAACACCAAAACAGAATCAAATAAATGATGGAAATGATATTATCCACGAAAATTCATGTGGTTGTATACAAACTTCATGTATATAATGGTATTGTGGTTTGAACATTCATTAACACCAAAACAGAATCAAATAAATGATGGAAATGATATTATCCACGAAAATTCATGTGGTTGTATACAAACTACATGTATATAATGGTATTGTGGTTTGAACATTCATTAATTGTTTAGACTGATCATTCTGGCTCGGTTATGGTTGTCTGGGGGGTTGGATGGCTGAATGGTTAGCACATGCACGCTGTATCATAAGGCCTGTCATTGAGTCAACTGCCGTGGTTTCGAATCCCCGGTTTTACATGACAAGGAGTAGGGTCACCTGTCCAACCTCGTGGGTTTTCTTCGGGTCCTTGAGTTCCTCCTACTGCTAAAGACACCTATGCACAAGCCAATTATTGAAATAAAATTAAAACCATGTGTTAGTCCCGAAATGACCTAGTCTGTGTCGAGTGGACGTTAAACCCCATTTCCCTCTCTCTCTCTCTCATATGGTTGTCTATTATTGCCTTTCATTACTTTAGCTGATATCAAACAACAATTACAATTTTCTACTTTTTAAAATTATGTTATGCTATTTTGGAGTAAATATAAATATATTCATATTTCATTAGGTTCTATATTTATGAACATTGGTCTACCAGCAATTTTTATACTAGACAAATGTATAGTATCTTTGAGGGGCATTTAGTGAATGGGATATATAATAAAATGACAACTTTATGGATAACTTTTATTACGCTGCAGGGACAAGGACCTCATACCTAAAGGATTAACACTTAATATTAATAATAGTTTTCGTAGGTATGAGGTTTAACTTTAATGGCTTCTGATTTAAACTCTTAATTAGTTTATTGTTATCCACTTGTATATAACCTTCTGTAACATGTTTGATTGTATCATTGCTTGATAACGGTGAGAGTATCCTCACTGAAACGTTGCAGTTAATAAACCTAGTGAATGTTATCCATAAAGTTGTCATTTTATTAGACAAATGTATTTACAATTTGATTTTCAAATTTAATCAGATTGTACAGTGGTTAATGGTTAGTAAGATTTACTCCCACTGTGCCAGTTTTATTGTTTAGGGATTAATCAAATAATTAACGATACAACAATGGGGATTAGTTAGGATTAAGGGTTAAGGGTTTACCAGCGGATTAACAGTTTAATTTAATATTTTATTCCATTTTAAATCTATCTTTTTTTACACATTATTATACTAAAATATAATATTTCCTCTTTCGAATTCTAAATTTATGCCCTCTATACACCAGATGTTGGCCACCCTGAGCTTTTGGTATGAAACTAACATCTACTTGAACGTTTGCCATCTTGTGATATCTGTCAGATCAATGTTGTTGACAAATGACAGTGGTTCCATATATAGTGTCCTCTGAACGGAGTTCACCACTTAAGTAAGTTTTAACAAAAAATTGCTTATCATCATGATAAAATAAGATGAACACAGTTTACATGCCATATGCTGAACGAATAATCTGTTGAACACAGTTCTCTACACCATAAAATTGGCCCACTTGATTAAGCCAATTAAGGCTGTTAATTAAAATCCGATAATCCAGGGATTAAAAACTGGCAAAGTGGGAGTACCCCATTAGTAATGGCTGCAATGATCATCGATTGATAGATACATTATGAAATCTTTCAAAAATAGGTTGAACATAGGCAGTGAAACACCTCCTACTACAGCTATGTCTTGTATCTACATTAAACATTTGTGACTTATATTCTTAAACAATTCAACAAATTTATGATACCTTTTGTATATCAAGGGGAGTAACTACAGGAGAAATTTTCTGAAATTCAATAGTAGGCTAATTCACATGTATAGAATAGAATCAATTTTTTTTTAAAGGACTGCATACAATATACAAAGTATTAGATACAATTGATAATCTTAGTTTCTGTTATCTATGCAAGTGTCCTAGGTCTAACACAGTGATTATATTGGCTAAATTATGATATAGATCAGTTTTAAATTTTAAGATTTCAAAATTTAGTAATATAGTGAGTACAGAATTCATAGTTTGTAAGAAGTTAGCTTTAGGCGACTGAAAATGCTGGGTCTTTAACATATAGGTTACTTTTGCTATAAGGGTAATCTGGCACTTTTTGTAACAGTGAATGTGTGTGAGAGAATTACATAAAAAGATTAAATGCAACAGTAACCAATCAAGTGTTGAGTACATCTCATACACATATTTCTTCTGTATACAATTGTGAAGTAAGAGACATACAATAACAATTAGGAGGCTTAAATTCATGGGATTAAAGCTGAACTTACAATCATGGTTAAAATAAAAGGGATCTTCAGAAATGATTGTTATACTTTCATTAGATCACCATTTCTATCAACACTTGTTTTGTGTTTTATGAACAATATTGTTTTTACAGTGGTTGGCACTTTAGAAAAGTATTATTTGAATTTAAGTGTCAACGCTAAAGGCAACAATAAACAATGCGCTAGAAGTTGTCAATCAGTCCTACCACTTAATCAATTAACTTGTCTGTTACTGATTCGGTCTGCTACCCACGTACAATATTGATTTTTATACTGTGCCCATCATTGATTATCTAAACTGAGATTACACTTTAAAGAATTAGCCTTTTCCTAGTTCTAAAAAGAAATGATCACATGAATTATTGGTGCTTGTAGAGAGGTAATTCGATTATGTAAAAATCCCCTTTATCTGTTGTCATTGGTTTGAATATTAAACAAAGTTAAATGGCCTAACAGATCTTCTTGCTTCTTGTCACTGGGTTTTTTTGTGTTTTTTTGCAAAACTTAAAAAGTGTACTTTCTTAATTTTAGTTGATGATATTGTCTTTTAGAAAATTAATTACCAATTTATTCGCATTTCCCCAACGTGACAAGACAATTTTTATGTGTTTTTTTGTTACTTGAAATCAGTATGACTTCTTGATGTCTTTTTTTTCTCACTAAAAACTTACAAGACATTAAGATTTTTCTATTTTTTCTTCTTATGTGTTTATTCTTATCTTTAGTCATGATCTCCTTCATGTATGTTCTCCAAACTCAATATTACCAACAAACAATATTTGTCAACATGATGTGTATTCTTCAATGGTTTATGTTAGCAGGTAGCCAAAAATCTATGAAACTAAAACTTTTTGGTGATATTTTAATCCCAGTGTAAGATGCTCACAAAACTCTCAGTCTTATGCTTATAAAGTAGATAATTCAGTCAGTTAAGCCAGTTGGTATTAACCTACATCACACTTAACATAAACTGTTGTTTGCAAATACAAGATTTGTGAATCATGTCATGGACATACTATTTACCAGAAATAAACTATTTGTATATTTACAGTAAATCCCCCCTTTTCTTTAAAAGAAAGCTCTTAAAGATCTATTTCAATATTTTGTATACTTTGAAATACTTTAATATCATTGTCATTATTATGTTTTCTATTATGAAAATAATAAAATTGATTTAACAAATAATCAAAGTTGTTAGAATTTGTATTATTTAAGAAAAAAATTGTGAATAACTTTAAAATTGCTTTTATTGCTTTACTAACTTAATTTTAAATTTGGCAATATGAAAAAGCATGATTAATGGATTTGACTCTGGATTAGGATGTATTTAATTTTGTTTTCCCTCTTTTTTGCTGTATTCGTTAAAAATTGTCGCCAGTGATTGAATTTTCGTTTATGACACTATTTATTCAATAAATATTTACATATTATAAAAGTACAATATCAAAAGAATTAAATATTTTAAAGTACCAGTCATGCATTTTCTTATCTGGCAAAATATCTAAATCGATAAAAGAATGGAAAATTTACTTTTAAAAAAACCCCGAAACTTAACACTCTTTTTTCGCCTATTCATCTTGGCTATTCCTAAAAATAACGGAGGAAATGATTAGGTGGCAAAAATCTTTGAATTCAGTCAAGTTCAGTTGTGTTAAATACACTAAAACTCATCCAGAAAGATGTATTTGTTTGATTTTCAGATGGGAGTGTGAAATACAGCAGAAATAGTTGATGTTCATAGCTCTATCTAAACAGGTTACCTGGGAACTTGCATTAAAAAATAAACATTTTTTTTTTGTCCAGTTTGTGCACTTTTCTTCAATATGTGTACATATATCTACATAAAATTGTACAAATTGGATTACTTTTCTATTACTTTTAAAGAAAAAAAATCTATAACTTTTATTTAGAAAGATAATGAATATAGTTACACCTGCTTACTATTGACAGACACTGATATTGTTCTATTTGTCTCATAAATCTTCTACCTTAACTTGATTGATCTTGGTGACTATAACACTTGATAGAAGAGAGAATTAGGTAAACTTTAACGGAATGGCGGAAAACCTGCTGCGAGGCTGTTCTAACATAATATTATTAAGTTTGTCCAGAATAAAGAGAGCTTGACAGAGACTTGGTTCACATGGTTTACACTT